AGACAGGTCCACCACGACCTCGAACTCCCCCGGGTTCCCCCGGTTTATGTTCATCACGGCCCCGTGAACCTGCAGGAAAAGGGGGTCAGAGCTGGGGGGGGGCTGTGGGGGGCAGATTTGGGGCTCCCCGGGGCTCCCCACAGCACCCTGCCCTGGCCACCCCATAGGGCCTGGTGGGGTGAAGGTGGAGGGGGCGGTGCCTAATGCCAGGTTGCCCACAAGTGGGTGGGGCTAGGTGGAGTGGGCATGGCCAGAGTGGGCGGGGCAAGGCGGAAGTTTGGGATTGGTGGCCTTGCACCTTGCCTGGGTTGGGATTGGGCAGCTTGTATGAGGGTCTGGGAGGGGATTGGCTGATTTGTGTGGGCCTGGAAGGCGATTGGCTGACTCAGGATCAAACTAGGCTGGGATTGGCCAGGGCAGGGCTGGGATAGGTGGGTTTTAGAGCCAGCCCCGGGGTTGGGCGGTGACATGTCCTGGACTTGGGACACCCGTAGGGGGGGGACATACAGGGTGACACTGGGGTCCCCGTGGGGTGAGGGCAGGGAGGTGACACTGGGGACCCCATCACCGAAGAGAGAGGGGGCTGACACTGGGGTCCCTGTCACAGCAAGGGATGGGGTGACATTGGGGTCCCCACCACGGCACGGGTCAGGGGGTGACACTGGGATCCCCATCGTGACACGGGACAGGGGTGACAGCGGGGTCCCCATCATCACACGGGATATGGTGACAGCGGGGTCCCCATTGTAGAACGGGACAGAGTGACAGAGGGGTCCCCATTGTGGCACAGGGCAAGGGTGACAGCAGGGTCCCCATCGGGACAGGGGACAGGGGGTGACACTGGGGTCCCCATCGTGGCACAGGGCAGGGGTGACAGCGGGGTTCCCGTCACCGGCAGGGCGAGGGGCAGGCTCCTCCGCAGGGCCCCCTCCAGGCGCTGCAGCTGGGCCGGGCATGTCAGGATCAGCATGGTCCTGCGAGAGACCCTACAGTAACACAGGGACAAGGACCCCTGACGGGGGGACCCTGTCCCTGTCCCCATCCCTGTCCCTGTCCCCAACCCCTCCAGCACTCACCCTGCAGCAGCCCTGGGGACCGTGGGGCAGGCTGTGACACCAACTGCTGCGTGGTTCTGTGGGGCTGGCGATGACACTGGCGGGTCCCAGGGCTGCCACCAGCTGTCACGGGCCAGCGAGTGTCCCCTGCCCTGGGGTGGTGGCCCCATACGGGGGCAGCGGGCAGGGTCCATCCGTTCCGCCAGGCACCGGGCGTGGGGCCAGCCCTGCCCCACTCTACGGCCTCCTGGGGACGGGTGCTCGGCCGGGACACCCTGACCCACAGCCGCCAGCACCCCACTGCCCTGAGACCCTCGGGGTGTCACCGCCTGCCCCACGGCCATGCTGATCCTGACTTGCCCGGGCCACCTGCGGCGCCTGGAGGAGGCCCTGCGGAGGAGCCTGCCTGCCACCCTGCCGGTGATGGGGACCTTGGGGACCCCCCATGCTTTCCCCCTCCCTGTCCTACTGGTGACAGGGACCTCAGGGACTCCCCTCCCCGCCTCCCCCCCTCCCGATACCTCAAATGGTGTCCTGTCCCCTCTGCCCACAGAGGCTGGCAGCACCCTGGGGGTGCATCAGGGCACTGTGGGGGGGTCAGAGGGACCCGTCATGGCCCCATTGCCCCTCACAGACCCCCCCCCAATTCATGTGTGTGTCGCTCCCCAGCACTGACCCTGTCCTGCAGGTTCTGGGGACCGTCATGACGGTGGCCCGAGGCAACCCGGCCTCCCACGAGGTGTTGGTGGACTCCTGGCCCCATTTCGGCGTCGTCCTGACCCGATTGCGCCCAGAGGTGCTGCTTCGAGTGTCCGCCCCCCCACCCGGCAGCACCCCACATGCCGTGGGGCTGGGTGGGGGGCATGCTTAAACCTTGTGTGTCCATGTGTGTCCCCCCCCTTTCCAGGAGAACAAGGACCCCAAGGACTTCTACACCAACCAGCTGACGGTCTACTACCGGGACGAGGGGGCCTGGCGGGCACTGCTGGGGGGCACCGAGGCAGTGGGCTGGACCCAGGCCTTCCAAATCCACGGTAAACCTGGCACAGGGTTTAGGGGGGTTTGTAGGGGACCCCCCCGGCTCTGCTATGTGCCCCTGACGGTGCTGCCACAGGGATGCAGGAGGGGCTGTACCAGGCAGTGCGCGAGGCGGCCGACGCCAAGGGGCTGCGGGTGGAGACGTATCGGTACCAGGCGCTGCTGAGCCCCCGGCCCCCCCAACCCCGCGTGCAGTGAGTGTGGGGGACACCTGGGGACAGGGGGGCAGCGGGGGTCCCAGTCAGGTCCCTGGGTGACACGGGGGTCCCCAAGCACATCCCTGGTTTGCACACGGGTCCCTGAGAACATCCCAGGGTGAGGTGGGGATCCCCAAGCACATCGCTTGGTGGCACAGGGGGCCCTGAGCACATCACTAGGTGACAGGGACGTCCCTAAGCACATTCCTGAGTGGCACGGGAGTCCCCAGTCCCATCCCCAAGTGACAGGGGCATCCCCATTCACATCCCTGGGTGACAGAGGTGTCCCTGAGCACATCCTTGGGTGACACGGAGGTCTCCAAGCACAACACTTGGTGGCAGTGGGGGGCCCTAAGCACATCACGGTGACAGGGACGTCCCTAAGTACATCCCTGGCTGGCATGGGGGGCCCTGAGCACATTCCTGGGTGGCACGGGAGTGCCCAATCCCATCCTCAAGTGACAGGGGTGTCCCCATTCACGTTCCTGGGTGACATGGGGGTCCCCAAGCACATCCCTGGGTGACACGGGGGGCCCTGAGCACATCCCCAGGTGACAGGGATGTCCTCAAGCACATCTCTGGGTGGGACAGAGGTCCCCAATTCCATCCCCAGGTGATACAGCAGGTCCCCAATCCCCTCCTCGTGTGCAGCAGCTCCCCAGTGCCACCCCTGCTGGGTGGGTGTGGTTGGGGGGGGGCAGGACGCACATGCAGGTTCCCCAGTCCCCCCTACCCCAATCTCTCCGCTCTGCCCCGTTCCAGGGTGCCACCAGGACTGCGCCTGGCACCCGTGTCCCCGTCCCACGTCCCGTTGCTCAACGCCACGTGGGCTTTTGGGCGCAACACCCGCAGCCACCGGTTCCTGCTGGGGGTGGTGCAGGCGCTGCCCAGTGCCTGCCTGCTGGCACCCCACGGGCGCCCCGTTTCCTGGAGCCTCTTGGACCCCCTGGGCACCCTCAGCCATGGCTACACGTTGCCCGCCTGGCGGGGACAGGGCCTGAGCGGGGTGACGTTGGGTGCCCTGGGCCGGGTGTTGCACGCCCGTGGTTTTCCCATCTATTGCGGGGTGCTGCCCCACAACACCCCCTCGCAATGAGCCGTCCGTGCCGTCGGCTTCCTGCCCCAGCCCGGAACCTTCTACACCCTGGTAGTCACCCCCCCCACCCAGTAGTACCCGAGGATGGGCACACTGCCGGGGGGGGGCCACGGGCACCAGGAATGCAGTACTGGTGGTTTGGGGGTGGGGGAAGCAGGGAAGCCGTGGTTGTGGGGGGATAAAATGGGGTTACTTGCCACTCCCTAACACCTACACTGAGCTCAGAGTCTAGGGCAGCTCCCCCGTTCACCCTGGCCCCTACTGACAGCACCAGTGGCTCCTTGGGCCCCCCGCCATGTGGCACGGGCGGGGCGGGGGCGCTGGAGAAAGGCTTTTATTCGTTCATACAAGAATAGATCTTCTGCAATAAATACCCCAATAAATAACATCTCCAATAAATAAACACTCATAGACGCACCGGGACAGCGGCCCTGTGGCCCCGCCTCCAGCCCCGCCCTCCTGGGTCGGGGGTGTGGCCTGTGGGTTGCTAGGCAACCGGAGGAGAGGCGGGGCTTAGGCCACAGGGGCGGAGCCTGCTGTAGGAAAGAGGCGGGGTTTGCTACACAGGCTGGTGAGTGGGGACTTATTGCCAGCAGGGGAGAGGGTGGAGCCTATCGCTCCTGGGGCGGGGCTTGCTGCTGGGTGGGGCGGGGCTTCTCTTCCTATGCTGGGATTGGTCCTTTCTGGGGGTGGGCGGGGCTTGCACCCCCTCTAAAGCCCTTGGGGGTGGGTTTCTTGCTGCTATGGGGCAGGGGGCGGAGTCTGCTGACCTCCCTAGCCCCACGGGTGTGGGGACAGCCCCGAGGGGACAAGGTATGGTTGTGGGTGGGGACACTTGGTGGCTTTGGTGGCACTTTGGGGTCATGACCCCCATTTCCCAAGGCACATTGGTGATGGCGGGGAGCACATTAGTGGCTTTGCTGGCACTTGGGGGTCAGAAGCCCCATCCTTTACAGCACACGGGGGTGGCTTTGGTGGCACTGGGGGGGGGTCACAACCCTCATTTCTCATAGCACACTGGTGACATAGGGGGACACACACGGGGTGTCTGCGGTGGCCCTGGGGGTCAGGAGCCCCATCTCTCAAGGCACAGCGAGGTGCCAGTGGGGACATGTGGTGGCCCATGGGAGTGAGGAGCCCCGTTCCCATGAGGTTGAATTTAGGGAGTGGAGGGGGGGCTGTGCGGCCATTTTGTGGGGGGTTTGAAGCGGGGAAGGGAGGGGGGGTGCTCAGAATCCCCTGGCCTCCAGCCGCAGCGTAACCACGGCGGGCGGTACCTTCTTCTTGAGGCGATTAAAGTCCTTGGCCGAGCGCCACAGCCAGGTCTGCAACTCCTTCAACAACCAAAAATCCTCCATTTTCTTTAGGAAATCATTGGAAGGAACCGGAGTCCCAGGAGGCACCGAAGGTCCCCCGACGGGAAGGGGATAACCCAAAGAAGACATAACGCCGGCGATGCTGAGCACTAAACCTTGAAGGCTGGAACAGAAGTGGCCAAGGCGATGACGCAGCTCGGCGGTGCCCGCCGGCCCCTCCAGCGCCCGCAGGTAGCAGAGCAGGCGGCTGTAGGCCCGGTAGTTGGCAGCCAAGCGAGCGTTGTCGGTCAGGCCCCGCCACAGGTCCAGGTCCACCGTGGCACTGGGGACACGCTCGGCCCGCGCCAGCCGCGGGGGGTTGAAATCGGGTTCGTTAAATGGGGGACCCAGGTAGTTCAGCTGGAAAGTGGAAAAGTGGGGGGGGGAACACCACTGAGGGTGGAGGGCAGGAGAGGGAGTGTCTCCCTCAGTCTGTCACCTCCCGCGCCTGCTATGTTGTCTGTGTCCCCCAGGTCTCCGATCTGCCCCTCCCTGCTTGCCCCCAGGTCTCTATGTGTGTGTCCCCCTCCCCAGCATGTCCCCACTCTCCATGTCCCCACGCCTGTGACCCATCCCCCAGCCGGACACACCACCATGTCCCATGTCCCCCAGGTGGACGTGCCCACCATGTCCCCTTCCTCTCCGTGTCCCTGGTCTCCATGCCCACCATGTCCCCAACCTCCATGTCCTATGTCCCACGTCCCATGTCCCCCAGCTGGACGTGCCCC